TCACAAGATGAGTCAGGTGGAGAGGATGGACCAGATCTACGGCGACGCAGAACTCAGCATCATCGCCATCGGCGCCAAAGACCCGAGCTACGGGCTGCCGGGCTTGTCTCTCGGCCGAACGCAACATGTTCCAATCACCAAAACAATCGGCGAGCAAGGAATCGTCACAAATTTCAGCCACCAGTGGCAACTAGACCAGATCTCCCGATCAAAGTGGTCCACGCGGGGGTGGACGTTCCAAGAGACGTGTCTGTCGAGGAGAAGACTCTACTTTTCCAACTATGAGGTCTCATTTGAGTGTCACGATATGATGTGCTTTGAACACCTCACGCGTCCTCTTGCTTTGCAGGGGAATCTGGAGCACCACGAGAGGCCCGAGTGGACTCTCCTCAACACCCCAGACGGTGTCTGGGCTATACTTCAAAAGTACTGCGATCGCCAGCTGACATACTCAAGCGACAGACTCGCTGCAGTATCTGGAGTGTTGAAGAAATGGTCACGAGTCAATCCAGGATGCTTTTCGTACTGGGGCATCCCGATAGTCGCCTCCGGCTGGCTGGTAGTAGACGCCACTGCTTCGAGACGCGCCTTTCTCGCTGGACTCCAATGGGAGATTCGGCCTGAAGGAAAGAACTATGCTAGGTTGGCAGGTTTTCCCAGCTGGTCGTGGGTATCCCAGAATGGGAAGACGTTGTTTGGTCACTACGGCTACTTCCATCTGAGGCCTCCCAAGTTAGTGGAACTTACAGAAAACTTTGACTCAGAGGTTTGGGTGGAAACGCCTCAAGGCAACATGGTTGAATGGGCCGACTTCTTTGAGACTGGTGGTCTTGATTCGTCAATCATGCAATGTACCAGGTATCTTCACATCGAATGCTGGTCATTTCAGACCGGGCCCCTCTGCTATCGGAAGATCAAACGGCGTTCAGGCACCTCGCACGACGACATGTTCTATCTCCCAACAACACGCAAACCCTCTGATGGAAAAGGAGAGTTTGTTATCAAGTTCACCCCAGACTTCGGATACGAAGATACCTTCCTCGACCGAAAACTTACGGCAATATGCTTCTCGCCTCTGGAGCACGCAACGTGCGCTATAGTTCTTGAGTCTGTCCCTGGCCTCACGGTGAGAATAGGGTTACTAGCATTTACGAGGATCGAAGATTTGGGTTCACACGAATCGCAAAGTGCTGAGAATCTGCCTTTTTCTAGCCTTCCATTCGTTCCGCAGAGGCGTCGTTTCCGGTTGGGATAAGTGTAGGGTAGGAAGACTCTTTCTTCTCAAATCTGTACCCTCGTCACTAGTAGCTTTCGACAGTTTATAGCTTCGAAGGAGACCTCTGTTTTGATCAACGAGATATGTCTGCTAGCCGAGAGAGACCTATCTGCTAAGCATCTTGGCATTCTCAAAGTGCCGTTGAAATACACAGTTGTGTAGTCAATTTACTTCTGCTAAATTTTTTTGATGAGGTTCGAATCCTAACTACTCTTCATTATACGTTGTTGGTCCCTCCCAAGCGTGTGGAAGCTCTCCTTAGAGGCACGTCAACCTCATGAACTCCCGAACGCATCCTTGGAGCCCGTTTGTTTATGCACATCCACCTGAAGACACTCCAGAGCCTCCACGTATGCAGACTGGGCCCCCATCCTCGCCTCCATTTCCTTCGCGGTGGAAGCGGCCATGCTCAAGACAGCCTGTAAGCGGGTCTTTGCAGTGAAGCGAACGAGATTGTCCCAGATCAAGCTGAGGGGGTGATGTTCGCCAAATATGGCCTGGTGCATCCTACACACAAAGACAAGGAGCGACTCCGCGAGGTTGGGTTCCAGGTCGAAGATGTCGTGGAATGTTAGTAAAAGCAACTCGGGGTCTTGTTCCCTTAAAAGATGCTTCAGAAAATCAAGTTGCTTGTTGAGAAGGCGGAAGGCAGCAGTTGTTTCCTTGCTGGTCAGAAGTACGTGTACGTCGGCCATGTCTCCGTGCCACTTCCGGACCCTTTGCCTGGCTGGTTTACCGTTTGGTCCGTAGAGAACATGCCCGTCAATGGCTACTAAACCTGTTTCAAATGCCCCATCAAGGTAGGAATGGATAATCCTTATGGAGTTGTCAAGCAGGCGCAGATCTGAATGCGGTTCTATCCGACGAGGAATTTCGTTTTTGAGTAAGGTCGGCGAGGGTGTAGAGCATGTGATGTCTAAACTCGTATCTAGATATCTTGCAATATCGACGCTAGACGTATCTTGTAGGTCGGGTCTATGTTTCAGATACTGCATCACCCGTTCCCAGTTGACTTCTTGGCCTCGGAGAAAGAATTGCGAGCGCTTCCCTGCAGCTTCGCGGTCCTCCTTTTGTCGAAGCATCACCATTACTTCGGCTTCTTTAAGTTTCTTGTCTAGCTTCCACGTACTCAGTCTTGACTTGTACATCTTAGTTCTGGGCGAGGTTCAGTCAGAAAGTTATAGCTGTGATTTGATGTTGACTTACGTTGCATGGAAATGATAGTGGGATTCCATGATCTCGCTAACTTGTCTCAGGGATCTATTCTCATCTCGATAGAGCTTGGTAATAGTAGGCTGCATACGGTGCCAATCCTTTTCAGTTGCATATGTCTTGCCCGCGCGGACACTTTGGGACTTCGAGAGGGTGCTCATAGTGCGGGCTATGGTCTGAGATACGGATAGTAGGCGAGCTCCGGACGAAGAAAGCAAGATTCCAAGCAGTATGAAGAAATGAGAGTGATTACAAGTCGTATTTAAGTCTCTTGAAAGTTCCCCAATCGAGGAAATAGCGTCTAGTCTCAACGCGTGTGTGAGCAAGATTTCATGTCAGCCTTGTCGAGTTAGGTAAGTTCACTAGCATGCAAGATCGAATGGGCTTGCGGGAAGAGGCCAATTTTGAGATGTTGACTTCTCAAGTTGGCAGCAGGATGGTTGCACAGGCTGGGATTTCTTCGGCCGTAAGCCGGGTAGGCATGCACGGTATGTTTAAGACATATCGTTGGAAAGAAATGGACATGATCGCGCCCTGCTGCGCCGAGTTGGGGGCACAGCATTTGGAGGCTGTGTGGACCTCGCGCCTCTCCGAATCCGAAGACCGCAAATCCCCTTAACAATAATGAATTTTGGCTCTCGATTCCCTTCTATAGCTACGCGATCCATGTAGTGTCTGTGATCCACGTAAAGTGGTGTTTGCTTTGACGGCGGCCAGAATGAGATGATCGAGATCGCAGTCTGTACATTGAATCACCCGTATTACCACCAAAGACAAGGTATCACACCGGGACATAGTCAGTTCGCATCATTGTACTTCTCGTAATATTGGACTCTTGGCTAGTTACTCGAGTGCCTTACTTGGTACTCGACTCTCGATGTACCCCTCAATCTATGATCTCTCCAACTCCAATTAACGCCTCAAACCCCCCAAAGATCAAAAGTATGCTTGAGGCATGTTTCCTGACTCGTCGTAATCCCCAAACGAATCATGCGGACCAGGCCAGCTTTGATAAAGCTCAAAGAGATCAGCAAAGGTCATCCCCGCCCCTCCCCGTCGAGCACGCGCCGCTTCCCCAAACGCGGGACCGTACCCGTACCATCCACCTCCGTAGTGACCTGGCGGGGGTCCATAGCTCGGCCGGAAGGCACCGCCGTTCCTACCGGGTCCAGAAGTTGCTGGTTCGGGGCCGGGATTGCCTTCTCCCCCCCTACCACCTTGACCGCCAGGCCCATCGGTACGGCCCTGGTCAGGTTCAGGTCCAGAGCCGGAGCCGGGGCCGGGACGAGGATCGAACGAACCAGCACCGCCTCCACCGAAACTTCCAAAGATATCCCCAAACAAATCCTCAAACCGAATCTCCTCCGTCAGCCCAAAGTCATCCTCACCCATCTCCCCAAACCCATGACCAGGACCCAAACCAAATCCACCACCCCCAGCATCAGCCTCCTGCTGTCTCCGCCGCCAGTGCTCTCTCTGCAGCGCTTCAAGGAACGCCCTCGCAGCAGCAGAAGCCTCTCTCACACGATCATTATCGTGTCCAGAGCCGTTCGCTTGGCTGAAGCCACCAAAAGCGGGATACCGCGGCGGCTGCTGCTGCTGCTGATGCTGTTGATCGTGTTGATGCTGCTGCTCACCTTCCTCTTCTGGTTGCCATTGTGGATCGTGCCTGTGTCGCTGTTGATTCTGTTCTCGTTCTTGCTGTTGCTCTTGCCGCCGCCGCTGCTCGTTACGCAGATTCTCCTCGTAAAAGCGACCCGTACCGTAGTAGATCCCTCCAGGCAAGCCACCGACGGGTATATCCCCATGCCCACAGCCACGCTGCTGACGGCCTCCTCCCCCTCCAGAGCCAGGGCCTTGCTGGCCGCGAGGTGTGTTCCGACCGGAGCTGGCTTCGGAGTATCCGTCGAATACGTAGGCCATTGTATCTTGATCGCTCTGGGCCTAGACCATATGAAACTTCTGAGGATTCAAGAGCTTCTTTTCTGTTGACTGATGCTGTTGGTTGTTGTTCCTGTTGTCCGGTGTGTAAGTGGAATTCCGAGGTAGGTGATATGGCAAAGTACCAAGCCTATTTATATGTTTGTCAAAGGTTGCACGAATTACTGATTCACAGTCTCGGCTTGTTTGAGCATAGTGGTGATGTGGAAGCGTGTTTGATCGTTGATTGCCAAAGGCAAGCAGCTGTGATTCAGGAACTAAAGACACACGTCACGCGAATATGGAAGCTTTCAGCTCGGGGTATGAACTAGCATTTGTTACAAGCGCAGTAATTTGCGCCAAACGTCTATGTACTGGCTCCGATATCGTAGCGCATTGCCGCGATGGAAAATAATACGGGCTCTCGTCCCCTGCCTCAAGGGAGAGAACCGGCGTTTTATGTCTGTTTACCTGCTTTGATAGGTAAAGCCGGGTATAATAGAAAACATACATTACAGGTATCCAGGATCCGTTTAAACGTATGATGGCTCCTAAACAACGCCACGCAGAAAACAATCAAAGAAATGGGTAATTATGTCGCGGTAGTGCTTGTTTCGTTGCGCAAGGAGACGGGTCCTTGAAACCCTGTCGTTGGTCTGACGTTCTGCATTTCCATACCCTGAATGTCGACCTTCTGATCCCGGAGAGCACCGAGGCGTTGATCACCACCAATATACCTCTTCTTGAATTGGTAGTAGGTAGGAGGCCTCGGTCGGCAGAGGACGACGATCCAGTTCTTGAGCATGCTGCCCTGAGTGAAGGCTCGGAACCGCTCTGCCTTGATGAACTTGTGAGAGTTGATGTACTCTCTCGTTGTTTCGCCTCGAGCCATGAGGAAGATGTGGTAGCCCATGAGGGCAGCAGGGTATAAGAAGGCAATAAAGCCGTAGATGACCATAGCGAAGGGAACGCGGAAGTCGTCGATGGATTTACCAAAGGAAATATCGGATCGGTGCATGTGTACGAGAATTTGGCCTAGAGAGGCGCCAAGGAGGTAGAGAGAGAGGAAGGTTGCCGAGGAGACGAAAGCAAAGAAATATCGGTAATTGCGTTTTCCGACACAGTTGTTGAGCCAAACGCAGTGGTGATCGTGGGTCTCGATGCAGTTGTCGCACAGTCGGCAGTGATGAGCCCGAGGAGGCCGCCAAATGTTACATGTTCTACAATGTTTTACTGGAACTTCCATGGCGGCCGTGGCTGACTCTGCTGACTTGATCAGCGTCCAGTCGTTGGTCGGAGGCCCGAGCCGGAGAGGATCCTCTGTCGAATCAGCCGGTGGAAAGGCATGAAGGTTTCGCGGCAAAATCTATGCGCGGTTAGCTATATTTTTACCGAAGTAAGGGTGTCACAACTTACGCCTGGGTCCGACAGGGATGCGTGGAGGAACGAGGAAATGCAAATGTAGAAGACGTATCCGAAAGTGATTGGGATGGCAGGACTGATGTTATGCCATATCCAAGGGGCTGAGAAGACGAAGAATAGGACGGCGGGAATAACGATGAACAGCCCAGTGGCTACATTGACTGGCCGATGCTTGGTGTTCTGGAATCGCCCTCCCAAGCAGAAGACAGTATTGCCTTCGAAGTACTGGAAAACATAGCCAAGGTTTGTCTTGGACTTCTTCAAGTTGTTCTTGTCGGCGGGTCTCGAAGAGTCTACGGGGTTGAGCTGCGGCGTGGATGCGGTCGATGAAAGCTTTTCGCCGCCAGGTAGAGTCCGGTTAGACTTGTTCTGGTCACTTCTGCCTGGCAGCAAGAAACTTGAGCGGAAAGATCGCGGCGATTTGATAGGGCTAGGTTGATTGCCTCGTTCTCTGAAGCCCCTGTCGACATTGACGCTCAGGTTTCGGCTATTGCGCTGGTTCCGTTGCAGCGGCGTGACGCTCTCGGACATACTACCGGCAGCATAGTGACCATGAGTCGGGCTCGTGTTGGCGGTGATTCGATCGTACGTTCCTTGGTCGGTGTATTCGGTTCCGCGAGACGGAGGTGGTCTCATGTTGTCGTCGTCGCTAAGCTGCCGCTGGAGGCGCGCAACGGGATTCGAAACCGGGTTTGAGATGACGCTGTGCCGAGCATTTGGTCCTCCACTGGCTACAGCTGCTGCTGCGGCGGCACTCTGGTTGTGTTCGGGTGTAGGTTCGGTATCCTCCAATGTAGGTTGCTGACGGGTCGCAGGTCGTGAACCACCACGCTGGGCTTGCAGCTTTTGGGAACTCATGGGACGAAAGAAGGCTGAAGACGTAAGAGACGGAACATGACTTCGACTTGTCGAGCTAGGCGGTCTGCTGCTGATCGAACCAGCGGTACTACCGCCTCCGATGCTTCCCCTCTTCTCGTTGAGACTGGTAATGTAATTCATTCGTGGGGGCGGACCCCGTCTCCGGCCTTCGAGGGGTCCAGACATGCCTGTCTTGGCCGTCCCTGGCCGTGACACAGTTTCTGAAGCCAGACCAGATTTTCTGCGCGGATTTTCGGACAAGGTCTGGGCTACAGCGTCCCCGCCGTCGTCGGACGCGATGTCGGTCATTCGCGACGAGATGATACTCGGCGGGCCTGGTCGGTCGGAGCGTCCAGGAAATTGGGGTTTCGGAAAGCCGCCATCGTCGGTTGGCGTGCTAGGCCCACCGGCCTGTTCTTTTGAAGTCATTTTGAGCGCTGATGTCGCAGGCGGATCGGCGGCGCAATGATGTTGGAAAGTTCGCAAGTTTCCTCCACTATAACATGTCGCTTTTTTGACGTGTTGATAAAAGGGTATCGTGAGGTTGGGAGAAGAGCGTGTCAAGAGCGGCCGGGGGGGAGGATGGTGGTTGGTCTTGAAATCGGCGCTTTGACGTGAGGTTGTGATGACTATCGCGCGGGACGAAGGGTTCGGTAGGTTCGGAGACTGGATCGTGGAAGGTTTGGAAAAGGCTGAAGCGCAAAAGTCTGCGGTCGGAATGTGGTATTAAAAAGAGGTCGTGCAAAGGAATAGGAAAAGGCCCGTGTATTAAGGCGAGGGAGTGAATCGGTTGGTATCGTTTGTCGTATTGTATCGTGTAGAGAGAGTGGGAGAGAGAGACGGAGAAAGGAAGGTTGGGATCGCGAGCGAGCCGTGAATGAGCGAAGCGAAGAAGACGTCGGACAAGACTCAGAGTCTCGTCTTGTGCCTGGTGTTGCTTTTTCGAGACCAGAAAGCGACCCAGTCCAGGCATGGATTGCCCAACAGCGACGGAGAAGGATTGGATTGGAGCACCGCAGCGCAAGTCGAACGGGGGGGTTTTTCTTGGGTATGCTGGGCTGGATTCGCTGCAAGGCTTTACCATACGGATACTGCGACCCAATGTAAGGGGCGGCATAACCTGGGTATCCGTGCTTTGTGCATGTGGGAGGTTGCATAGAACCCTGATTTGGTTAAGCTCAGATAGTGCAGGATGTAGCTGCCGTCTGTCATCACTAACATTCCTCCGCCTGTATTACGGCTTCTTCACGATAGTGCCTGCGCTCAAGCCCCCTACGAAACGGCTTTGGCCGCGTTTTTATGCAGGCGCCGGTGCAACTAGGCCAGGCCAATTTAATTACAATTGCCGGATCTGGGTCCCAGCTTTAAATTGCTACAGCAGCAACAGGCCAACAGCACGCGGCGCCGCGATGGCTGCAGTGCCGGGGTGATGAGATGGGGAGCACGGCGGACGAAGGAGCGTGTCTTTCGCTCAGGTACCCGTCTTCGATGCCTTTGCCCTACGGACAGTCGGACACCACCAGTACGGGATAGCAATTAGCATAAAACGCACAGGCCATGGTTGTTCTAGAGTTTAATTTACTCTCCAGTCTTTACGAACCTAAACTGGCGATGTTTCTCAGCCTCCCGTTCCTCCACTCTCATCGCTGACATGTGAGGAATGCTAAACCGTTGTTTTGGTCTTGCTTATATTCCGTGGCTTGAGACGCGTCTCGCCCTTTCGCTGAATGCCGTTGAACTGCTGCAACGCTGAGGGTTCCCGGAATGATCTCTTTAATCTGCTGGGTTGGTCCTCGCTCGGAACGCCTTCGTCCGAGCAGCATCGCCAGGGAAATGCTTGGGACACGGCACGAACAGGGCCAATCGCACACAATCCAAGCATGCACCGCAGTGAATGAGACGTCTTGAATCCGATACTCATCCATGAAATTCACTGCTTCAACATGTAGGAGAATGCGATTATGCCGCCATTGTCAGCACCAATGCGGTCCCGTTCACTATCCGTACATTATGGCTTGTCTGTTCGAACATGGGATACCCTGATCATCTGGGGTCTTCTGACAGTTTGCGCCATATGACTGTTTTTGACAATCGACGCACGTTTCTGCGGATGAACCGCGCTCTACATACTCCAGCCTCGTGGGTATGAGCCTGTTAGAATGGTTGCCATCGAAGACGGAAACTACATTCACATTCTTCTGAGCGACGGTAGATCTATCAGCATCATTGCTTCCCATTCTATCCACGGACTCCCCAAAGCATAAGCTCTCGGCGATACTTGAGGTGTGATAAGCAAAATACCTCACACGGTCTTGAGCCAATCGAGCATAGACACTACCACGATAATATAGGCTGCTGATGCATCTTGATGCTGACGGAGATGTTCGCCAGGCATAATGTGAGACTTCAATGATGACAAGCACGCAAGCCCCGATGCGACAAATTGTCCAGGATAAGCTCTGTGTTCCGAAGTACCGGTCCCCCGGGCTCCGAGTTTAATGCCAGCCTCTCCGTATTGCAAGGCAGCCTCTTGATTTGTTCTCAATTGTTTGTTGAGACTATCTATTCTCGCAGTGTTTGTTCAATGTCGTTCTAGAACATAAAACTCGGACAGTCACGCTATATTTCGCTTGAATATGATAAGCTCATGGGCCAGGGAAGCTTCAGTCTGCAGCTAATAGCTCCCCATAACCTGAAAGGCCGCTCCATGTGTCGATGCAAATAACGCAAAAACAGCTAGGATCAAAGTGAAAGCATCTCCATCTTTCCCACTGCTGGCAGATACTTGCCATAGCAGGACTCTCACATGCTAGGAGGCCGTTAGTCAATTATACTGCTTAGTGAAGCGAAGCCTTTAAGCGCATAAGAGTCATCTATCCGGTGCAGGATGAGGTAATGCCCACATTGTCCTCGATTGACCAATCACCTTCCACTCGTAAGCCCGGCCAATCGTTTCTCCCGAATTTCAACCTTGGGATCCTGTCTCGACGAACCTGAAGCTCCGAAATCATACGACAAGCCGACACCACTCACAACATCACACCCCAACGACACCCCGTCAACCACCGCAACAATGGCCTCCTTCGTCGCCCGCCGCGCCTTCTCTACCTCCATCCGCCGCTTCGCCGACGAGCAGGCCAAGCAGACCCTCACCCAGGAGTCCAAGCGCAACCCCGAGACCCTCGTGCGTGATATCCCGTCCATCCAGCCGAGATGCCCTTAGACCGACCCGTCCGCCGTCCAACGTCCACCGCATCCCTCCCCCCGCGCAGCCGAGCTTCTGAAGCAACCAGGAAATATCGCCGAGCCTACGAAGAAGCGATAGTTGCGCAAAGGGGTGCGGACAGAAAGGCTGGAAGCGGCGTCAAAACAATCGCATGCAAGCGAGCCGGAATGGAAGGCTAATCGGATTTTTTTATCAAACAGATCCTCGGTGGTGTCATGGTTGCCGCCCTCGGCGGTGCCGGCCTCTACTTCGGTACGTCTCAGGAATAATTGGTATATCCTCCTCGACGATTGAACAGCCACTGACGGTTTTTTTTTTCTTCCCGCGCAGGCCGCTCCCCCACCTCCTCTACCTCCGAGAGCCCCGTCCTGAAGGCCGGTATGCCCTGGGAGACCGACAGCGAGGGCAAGTACAAGTACCACCCTGGTGGCAACCCCGCAAACGAGCCCAGAGACGCTCCCAGCGCCGTCAACACTGTCATCATTCCCGATGTCACTCTCCCCAAGGTGCGTTTTTGATATACCTATCTGATCCATCTCACCACGTCGGAGAGACTCCGTTCGTGGGAGTTCGAGTTTGCTCCAAGGCCCGGGATTCTTCGGGATTTGAAGCCGGAGGAAATAGCCGGGCTGACGCTTCATGACACAGGAATTGCACGAAAAGTACAACAAGTGGGGCAAGGACGGCTACCCTTAAAGAATTAGAGATACCTGCGTTGAGAAGACGTGTTTTTGCACAGTCTGTGCAATAGGCGGAAGGTGGTTTTCATGTGTAGATAGGGAGAATTCAGTTTTATCCACGTTTTCCTACCTTGGACAGTATCTCCAACGTTGAAACTACATCACTCGGCCTCGCGGCTCATCAAGCTACCTTGACCGGTTTTATATGCTCCGAGGCTCATGAAGCGGGATTTCATCTGAACATCTCTGCTGCAGGAAACTCAATGGCATGCAATTGAATCATGAGGGCGAGTGAAAAGAATACTCCCAAAAAAACAGCAATGCATTGCCTCGGTGTCACCCAACTCCCCAAAAACACCATTCGACTTACGCCCACAACACCACTCCCACACCCACACACAAGTCTACAAAAAGCCACCCGCCAATCTACGAGGCGAGCTGCTCAATCTCATCACCCGTAAACCCAAAGAGATACAACAAGTCCAACAGGCTCTCGCTGTTGAGTCTCGTATCGGCCTCCATCTGCACCCTCGGCTTAGCGTTCCACGCAACACCCAAGCCCGCCGCACCCATCATCAGCAGATCGTTTGCGCCGTCACCAACCGCAACAACCTGCGATAGATCGATGCCCTCCTTGGCCGCAATCTCAACAAGCAGGTCACGCTTCCGCTCCTTGCCTACAATGAGGCCCTTGACCTCCCCAGTGAGCTTTCCAGCATCGTCGATGACAACCTCATTGGCGTGCGCGTAGTCGATGCCCAACTCTCCAGCAAGCCAGCTCGTCAGGGGCAAGAACCCGCCCGACAGCACCGCGGTCTTCACACCGAGGCGCTTCAGAGCCTTGATCAGGCGGGGCACGCCCTTGGTGACATCCAGGACGGGCCGCAGCTGCTCGAAGCAGGAGGCGGGCAGACCCTTGAGAAGCTGCACGCGCTCGCGGAACGCGGCGTCAAACTCGAGCTCGCCGAGCATGGCGCGGTGCGTGATGTCGGCGACGCGCGCGGCCAGATCGGGCGGGTCCGTGAGCGTCGCGGCAAGCAAGTCAATCACCTCCTGCGTGATGAGGGTGCTGTCCATGTCGAAGACGACGAGACGCGGGTGCCTGCGCCACAGCGTGTCGGGCTGCAGCGCGACGTCGACGCTCCATTCCCTCTCGAAGCGGTAGATGAGCTCGTGCCGCCGCAGGTCCGTCAGGCTGAGGTAGCTCTGGCAGGGCGCCGGGTCGAGGGTCAGCTCGACGACGCGCGGGTGCTCCTGACTGTCGAGGCAGCGGTGGGAGGAGCTGTAGTCGGACTCGCCGGCAGGGAGGGGGAAGGTCGACATGAGGTGCAGGAACGAGGTCACGCACATGGGCGAGACGTGGGAGCCGTACAGGTGGTCGAGCTTCTCGGGCTCGAGGGTCGGGGGTTCGAGGGGGAAGGACTCGGGGTCCTGGGTCGGCGCGAAGTTGGCCGGGAGGGACTCCTTGCCGCTGGCGCTGTCGGAGGTGAGGGTCGGGGGGGATGCGACGCGGCCGCCGCTTGCTCCGGCCGCTGTCGTGTGGTGGCCGCCGCCGTCGCCGCCGTTCGGTTTGTAGAAGAGCGTGGCCACCAGGCGCGACTGCTTCTTCCCACCCGCGGGCGCGCAGTTGGGGTGCGAGTAGCTGTGGTTCAGGCCGCTGCGGATGGTGGGCGGGTTGTCCTCTGAGGGGATGCCGTTGAAGCCCGCATAGTGCTTGTGGCCGGCGTTGTGGTTGTGCTGCTTTGGCGGAGAGACGGCGACGTTACTCAGGTCCTCGACGACGGTATCGATGCCGAAGCGGCTCTCTGGGTGCTGCGGGGGCCGGTACTGCTGGTGCTCGCGCAAGAAGGAGCTGCTCCTCATGGACGAGGTCAGCTGAGGTCGGGGCGACGTTGTCGACTTGGCGGGGCTTGCGTCGGCCATGGCGGGAATACTCTTCTCTATCGTCTTTTCTTCTAAGGCGGGGTTTAAACTACGACGGACCAAGACGGAGACAAGGCTGGGACGAAGGGTGAACGGGACACTGAGGGACGGGGCGGATAGAGGACTATGCAGGAGGAGGAGGATGAACCTTCAGCAACAGCTGCTGGCGACGGCAGCGGCGGCTTGGAAGATTGCGGGGAGAGAAAGAGAGAAAGCGCGAGAGAGACTGAGGACGAGGGGGAGGGGTAAAGACAGAAGCTCGGGGCCCGGCGTAGTGGTGAAGGTAAAGCTTAAAGACTCAGCTCAACTTAGTAGCCCTCATTGTTTCGAAAGGTAAAACATGTTCGCGTGGTTGGACGACAGACGATAGAGAGAAAGAGAGGATGGGGCCTCGCGGCGGAGGGCTGGCGGGTGCTGGTGCACTGTGAAGTCTGACTGTGTGCCCCGCCTCGCCGTCACTGGTCCGGATCCGAGCGAGGCCCGCAATTCCCGTATCCCGACGTCTTGGGCGGCGCGCCATTGGCTGAGCTGGGCGTCGCATGGCAAGCTCTCCCGTGGGACCTTCCTTGAGCCGTGGGCCGTGGTATTCCCCAAAGTGGACGCCAGGATCACGTGGTTACCCCTCTAAAAATTCTGTTCTGAACTTCTGATAAGCTGAGGGGGGAAAGGAGGCCCGGTCCGAATGACATGTTGAGGCTCGATTACCTCACTGTGAGGTCGGTCAATCGTCTCCGGGTTCCGTCCAAGGTGAAAGGAGAAAACTTTGGCCAGAAGTCCGAACACGTGAGTTGGAAGCCAGTGTGAAAGAGCGAACCTTCGGGCGATCTGCGGGACCATCAGCCTCGCCCGAATCTACCGACGCCGGTGATCCAGGGGAGAGAACGTCAGGGACGATTCCATGACAGCCCTATCGCCGTACTAGTGTACATACGCAGAATCACGCACTGGCCTACCTTACCCTACCTCACGTTGGCCACCTACTGTGTTGGTCATTGGCAGGCAAGCAGTGCAGGCTGGCCTTGGCTTTTTCTGCTGGTAAGTTTGTTATCCACCAGTCACCGCGATGACCGAAAACTGATCATTGCTTCAGGA